CCGTCCCCTGCTGCGCCGCTGCTCTGTGCGAGGTCGGGGGCGTCCGAGGCCCGCAGCGCCGCCTGGGCGCGCCCCCTTCCCGCGTCGGAATCCCGCGGGCGGCGCTCAGCTCAGGGCCGAGTCGGCGATTAGATCGGCCCAGGGCGCGCAGGAGCGGAGACGCTGGACGGCGCAGGGCAGGCGGACAGGCTGGCGGACAATGCGGCCGGCGGAGGCCCGCGCTGCGCGAGTGGGGCCAGGCTGCGCGCGCGTGGCCGAGTGTGTATGTGTGCGTCTGTCAGTCAACGCTGACAGGCCGCAGCCCATTGGCCAGGCCCCGCCAGCCGTACGCGCCCACCCCCCTTGGCTGGTTTGAACCCAAAGGCCCCGGCTCTCCCCGCCTTCCGCGTGGGCCCCGCGGGCCCTTGTCCAGCGCCGAAGTTCGCGCGTGGGAGGTACGGGGTGGGCTCCGACCCTCCACCCCGATCCGGGTCTCTGGAGGGCACAGCGGGAGCCGCACTCGGGCTCGGCGCGGCCGGGTCTGGCTGCGCACGAGATTCCCAATTTGGTCCTTCGAACACCTGCGACCGTGCGGAGCGCCCCCTCGTACGCCCACCCCACGCCTCCCAGCGCCCCGGGAGCTGACAAGGCCGGGGCGCCCGAGCCTTAGAGGCACTGGGTGGGCAGAGGATGACCAGAGGAGAAGGTGGGGAACAGGAAGAAGACCCCGGAGGGCCTGCCCAGAGGGGTAGCGAGTGGGTAGCCCTTTGTGGGCTCTCCCTAATGATCGCTGATGGCTCGCTAAAGGCTGGGCACCTGCGTCATGGTCCCCTCAGCCCACCAGCTCTAGGGTCAGGTGTGAAGACAAGGAAACGGGTTCATAGAGGTTTCAAGGGACTTGCGTGAAGCCACTCAGAAAGAGGCAGAACTTAGATTACAAGATTGTCTCTACATCCCAGTTCATGTGTTCTGTCGTTTGTTTTCTTTTCCACTTCAGGGCTGATCTGGGTGTACCACACATGGCAAGTCCCGATCCCTGGAATCTCACCGCAGCTTTCTTCAGTTCTAAGGAGGGAGCTTGTTTGTGACAATCCATGCAGAGAGAAGGCAGAGGTTCTGTCTTACTCAGACTTGGAACCAGTGCTGGACCCTGAATGGGCACAGTGGCCCAACCCAGGGCCCTGCCCAGCCTCCTCCTCCCACCCTGCAGTGCACTGTTTGGGACTGGTCACTTCCTGCGCAGGCTCTTCTGAGGGAAGGTGAAATGGAGTGTCCTTACTTCACTTTTCAGGTGCCGAGGGGAAAGCAGGGCATGAAATGACAGAATGAGGAGGGCGCGGGAAGACACTGGGGTGGAGGCTGGACGCACATGAAGCTCTGGTGCTAAGTCAGCTGCAGCCCAGCTCCCCCACAGGGCCTCCACTGCCCCACCTGGAAAGAGGGTTGTCACCTGACCTTATGGCATCTCGGAGTCGGCAGTGCTGGCCAGTATTCCGGGGTTTGGACCACAGGCTTCCTGAGGTCAAGGGCTGGCTCCCATCTGAACTTCGGCCAAAGAAAAGACAATTTTTCTTTATTCATGATAGAGCACGTGCACACACAGAGAGACAGAGACAGGGAGATGAACACACGCCACAGAGTCTAGTCATGCCACGATCCCCATCCTCCAGTCATTCAGCCTGTTAGACCTTGGACACTTGCGTGTGTGCCTGGCATGTTTCAGGCCAGCTGGGCTGGGCATTTGAACCGTGGTCGTCATGTGAAATCCAGCTTCTCTTGAGCAGCTCATTACCACTGCGCCACGGAGCCAGCCCTCAAGTCAGACTTAGCAGCAGCCGCCAGGTGGGGAGGGGCCCTCTCAACTTCTCATCACCAGGTGCTTAGCTCCCCAGTTCTGTCCTAGCCTCCACTCCACCTCCTGTGGAGTCTCCATAGCCCGCTACCTCCATGGCGGAGCCTGCTTCCCTGCTCTCCGAGCGTCCTGGCAGACCCCCTCCTGGATGTGCTGGTGCGTGAGGGATGAAGCACTTCCGTCTCCTGACCGACCGTCCTCCATGAGACTTCTGAGATGACCCCAGGCCCATCTCCGACCCGTCTCTCACCTCTCATCATCTGCCCACTCAGCGCCTCTTTTCCCTCCCAGGCTCTTCTCTGTCCCGCTACGTCACCTGGCAAGCCTTTTACCAGCTGCCCTCTTCTCTTTCTCACTGTCCCTCAGGGAGGTCTCTGGACACAAAACCAGACCCTCCCCATGTGGGTCTGCCTTGCAGAGAGCACGTTTCACCGTGGCTCCACCACCTTCTCCTGGCCCTTTCTCTACCATCATTCCATCAGCAGCGGCAGGAGGAGGAAGACAAGCTGTGTCCCAAGGGAACGTGTTCTCAATGGCTGACAAATGTGGCCATCCGAGCAAGGCCATCCTGTGACTTTCACATCGCCTGTCACCTTTCCCTTGGTGGCTTCTTCCTGTACAACACAATATTTGAAATTAAATTTTACAGTCACAGTGGCATAAAGATGACTGTAACCAAGGCTGGATTCATGATTAAATATGCACTATTAGGGGCCGGCAGGTGGCATGATGCTTGAGTTCGAGCCCCAGACCTGGTGGCTTGCTTTTTCACTTTCCCTCTTTCTCTCTTTCACTCTGTCCCTCTCTGGTCAAATTAAAAAAAAAAAGAGAGAGAGAGAGAGAGAGAGAGAGAGAGAGAGA